GGGAAGTGCTCCGTGCGGCGGCGGCAGAGGCGGAGGGATAAGGATGTGCTATATTTCTCTAGCCCTCCTCCCTTAACCCCCCCTCTTCCCCCTCCTCCCCTATACCCGCCCTCCTTCCATCCGCCCGCTCCGGCACACCTGCGCTGCTGGTGGGCTCCCTCCCTGAATTGATTGGCGTTATTAAGGAAGTGCGTGGAGGAAGGCAGTAAGTAGTTTCGCCAGGGCTCCATAGCGGTGGCTGGTGGTGGGGCGTGGCGGGGCGTGGCGGGGCACGGCGGGGCACGGCGGGGCGGTGTGGGGCAGGGCGACACCTGTCGTGTGCTGCGGCGGGCCATTGCTCATTGCTCGTAGCAGTGCGGTTACCACTCCATTCGAAAAGGGGCCGATAGGGAGCAGAGGGAGCCCCGTCGTGTTGCCTCGAAGGCCTTTGAGTCAGTCGGACCCGCCGTCGGGTTGTAATGGAGCCCGTGGTGCTTGAGGGACCCCCACTTCCACCACTCCCCCACTCTCCCCCTCCCCATTCGCCGCTCAGCTCGCATGCTGATGGCAGGTGTAAATTGACGCCCATCAGAGAGGGACTGTATCCGAGTGAGCTGAGGCGGTTGGGGGTAGGGTAAGTGGAGTGAGGGGAGGAGGGTGCGACCAGGCCCAGCTGTCCGCCCTCGTCCAGTGAGAGCGAGGGGGGCGCTACTCGAGCCAAGAGCAAGCAATCGAGCCGGGAGGAGAGGGGCGGGGCGGCGGAGGCAGGGCGGCGGAGGCCAGGCAGGCGTGGCGCCCGAACGAGCCTTGGGGCGCCTATTTTAGTCTATGGCCAGCGTTGTGCGAATTTCGCCGGGCCGGTTCCACTCCACACCGACCCGCTCTGCTCTCACGGCACGGTGGGGATGGGGGGTCCGAGCGTGGAGCGTCCGGGGCGAAATGGCAGCTGTCCGTCGGCACACCCCCGACCCCGAGAGCATCGACGGCGCGACCCGAAACGCGGAGGGTAGTTGGGGGTTGGAGGTCGTGGCCGCCGCCAACCTCCCTGGCTCTCAATGGAGGCATGGTACATGGTACATGGATCTGAGGAGAGAGCAAAAGCTCTGCCCACCTCCGTTTGGAAAATATTTTAGGATCGGCTCTAGTTATTTCAATTGACTACACGTTCTTGTCCTGCGCACACCAGTGTTGTTGGGGAATGTAGCAGGAACTGGGTGTTGAGAAACACTTGCATCGTATCACAGTTCTTGATCGAAATAGTTTTCTCAGTGCCGGGGGCGCTTTGAGCGTCTAATCCACGTGCTGTTCAGGGGAATAAGGGAAGCCAACTGCTTAATTTGGGGACAGCGCCCGACTGAATCCCCCTCCCGCTCGCTCGCCGTCTCCCTCTCCTCTCGGGGGATGCGACTTCTCGTTTGACCCAGATAGCCGCCGCCTCTGCGAACAGGTGAGAACGGGAGTGAATGAGAGACAGAGGGACAGAGAGCGCTGATTGCCTCCAATAGGTTGTCATGGCTCGGTTCGTTCACCTAGAGAACAACTTTGTTTGCTTTGTTTGTAACACATCACATCCCAAATCGGGGTTCTGAGAAACAAAATTTTAGTTCCTCAAAACGGCAAACGACTAAAATTTAGTAACCTCTTTTTTCTTTTGAAAAATAAAAATGGTTGCACTAATCAAACTGGCTCAGCAGCCTCACTCCACTGCTGAACAACTAAGTGTGTAACTGCTGAACACATGTTGTAAGTGTGCAACTTGCAGTTGGTTCATCAGTTTAAATTAATTCATCGCCACGGACAAAATTTGGTTTGCAGAGCTGTTTTTGTTGAATTTTGGTTCTCTGGACCAAACGGTCTTCTGGGTGTTGAGATGCGAGACGGCGCGGGGGTCTAAAAGAATGCCGGGAGGAATAAAGAGCACAATGGAGCTCGCGTGTGACAGGACAGGGCTGCCAGTCCAACGCGGCGGAGTGGGGAAGGACCCCCCCC